AATTGCCAACTTTTATACAACACACTATAAACACATAGCAGGATGTGTTTGTGCTCCGGTATTAACAGTTATTTTGGTACTCCAGGAATTTACACAGCTTTCATTTCATAATTCTAATGCCCACTTCCTCTCTGACTAGTCAGACTGTAGTAAGGGATTGAGAAATCGGAGTTTGAAATTAAAATTTTCTTATTTTTTTAATGCTCACTTCCTACATCTCTGACTGTAGTTGGGAGATTTTGTACATTTATTTGCACAAACACTATAATGGCAGCTCCTTTAGAACATATCTCATTTTTTTCATGTTACTCTTTTAATTTTAAACAATTTTAGCTTATGTACATTTGTGAAAAATTTCTTCAGTAATATTTGAGCAAGTTAAAAGAAGAGAACTGAATGATTTGGAATGAACCTTCATGAAAAAGATGTGACTTTTTAGTAAAAAAAAATAGGCAAGTTACTAGCAAATGACTTCTGATTGGAAAGATGCAAGATATGCTTTATTATAGCTTAATTTAAGTGCCGAAATTTGTCCTTACAAAATGGACTGAAAGTTCATTGTTGAAGTGTACTTGAAATTTACATCACAGAAGTAACAGTGTTTGCAGTTGTACATATTGTGTGTTACATGTTTAAGGAAGAGAGTGGAATGGCGGGGAGGGGATATAATAGGTTTAACAGACAGGCTGGAAACAAGATATTTATTTGTAGCATAATCATTAACTTGACTTGAAATGAATAAAACACCATTCTTGTATGTTGGGTTGTTAACCAGAGTTGCACATTTTAAGGATTTATGAGCTACAGAGGAAGAAGACATAGCTCTGGTTTTGAAACCACACATTGGTCGAAGGCATTTTTTAGTCATTAATACTCGTGGAGAAGTACACCAGATCTCCCACCAGCCATGTGTCTGCCCTAACACGGCAACACTATAGCCAACTTATCACAACACGCTCGAACCTTTTCTCTTAAATTGGATTTTTTGTGAAAGAATTTACTCTATTTTTTAAGTTTAAATCTGTGGGTTTTTTTCTGCATGTTAGATTTTACAACTGTTGCCTGTAAACCTTTTTGGAATAGGTTTTTTTTAACCCAGAGTAAACAGAACATGCTCAGTCCTAACAGAAATAAAGTGGTTCTTAAAAACCTTCTGCATATGATGTATAAGAAACTGAGGAGAGTCAGTTTCTTTTTTTTTATTATCTTTTTGTCGAGGGGTTATAACTCCTTCTAAAGTAATGGACCGATTACTACCACCTGAAGTTGTGCATCCAGGTACTATTTTTTCATTATGACCCTTTTTTACGTAGTTATTGCTCTTTGTTGAAAAATGCTTTCCCGACTTCTCCAAAACTTCTGGGCCAATTTCAATGACAGTTTTCACATATGATAAATACCACCTGATGTTGTGCATCCAGGTTTTATGTTTTGGCATGAGGAGGGATTACAGGAAGTATGTCAGTGACCAGTATACTTAAATAAGTGTACAGCTCAGACAATAAAAAAATCATTACTGGTGGGAGTCTATGGATTGCTTTGCAATGCTTTGCCTTTAAGTTAGCCTTTAGCTAAGCTTACAGTTCTGGGTNGAGGGGTTATATTAAAATCCCCCCCCCCCCCCGCAACAAAGTTAAGGGGTGGGATACTGGAATCAGCTTGTCTGTCTGTTCGTAGAAATAATTTGTCCGGAAAACTCCTTCTAAAGTAATGGACCGATTTCAACGAAACTTTCCAGATATGATAACTACCACCTGAAGTTGTGCATCCAGGTATTATTTTTTTCAAAAGACCCTTTTTATGTAGCTATTGCTCTTTGTTGAAAAATGCTTTCCAGACTTCTCCAAAACTTCTGGGCCAATTTCAATGACAGTTTTCACATATGATAACTACCACCTGATGTTGTGCATCCAGGTTTTACTTTTTGGCATGAGGAGGGATTACAGGCAGTGACCAGTATACTTAAATAAGTGCACAGCTCAGACAATAAAGAAATCATTACTGGTGGGAGTCTCTGTATTGCTTTGCAATATGCTTTGCCTTAGTTAGCCTTTATGTATATAATTAGCTCACAGTTCTAGTTTAATACATTTACATGTTCTTATAATCACAAAATAACTTAAAAATTGAAAATATATTATCTTTAAACCTTTTTGGTTATGACAAAAATAATAAAGCTTAAAGATTGCAGTGTTTTTATTCATTATAATGTATATTCATGATATATAAACCATATTGTAAAGTCTTGGAGTTTTAGAATGTTATTGTTTATTTACAAGTTAGGGATATGATTGACTTGAATATTGCATGTACATGTAATACTTATTTATTTTTATTTTATATATTGTTGTATTTGTATTTTTATATATTGTTGTATTTGCATTCATTTTACTTTGTAATTACCATTGAGTTAGCTATCTAAGACCGAGGTAATTACAAGAAAAAAAATAAAAAATTAACATTGAATTGAGTTTATTGTAAAATTTTGTCAACTAAATTTCCAATAACATATTAGGAATTACTGTAATAACCAGTACATTTCTCAGGTTTTGGTTTGGTATTATCTTCAATCGCACTGCTATATAGTAATATTTTATATTTAAAGTATGTGTAACTATGTGAAGTTTCTGTCATTTGATACAGATATAAGATCTCAATATTTAAATAGGATGTAAACATTTATCACTGCTGCTACAGTGTATCTTTTCCTGCTGGGTTTCTGATAGGAGATGCTTCATTCAGCATCCTAATCTGTAGTGGGACATTCGATGCTGTACATTTAAGAGGAATCCCCCTGCTGCAATCTTGTCCCGTACTAGAGAGGTTTTTAGGACTTTAAGTATGTAAACATATGTTAACATAAGGGTGTATCAATTGTGAGCATTACAGCAAATTAGATGAAAAAGTTGTGTGTGAGAGTCACAAACTCCCACAGTTGTAGAGGTTAGGCTAGGAGAAGCACTGCAGCCCGCTGGCTCTAAACATATCCGTGGGCACACAGACCTACAGTCTGTGACTCACAGTTCTCCACACTTTACCTCTTTGTTTGGAAAAAATTACTATAAAAAGGAAAGAAAGATTGGAGATAGTCATATCTGCAGGAGAGGTCATATCCTGACCTGCCTGTGAAGGTATTGTGAAGCGATAACAAGACTTNCATTGTATATTCTAGTAAAGGAAATATCCTTCACAGTAACTACATTGTATATTCTAGTAAAGGAAATATCCTTCACAGTAACTACATTGTATATTCTAGTAAAGGAAATATCCTTCACAGTAACTACATTGTATATTCCAATAAAGGAAATATCCTTCACAGTAACTACATTGTATATTCCAGTATAGGAAATATTCTTCACAGTAACTACATTGTATATTCCAGTATAGGAAATATTCTTCACAGTTACTACATTGTATATTTCATTATGGGAACAACTTTAATGCTTCACACAAAAATTGATGGGAAGTGTGCCCCTTTGTCTATACTGTTTTTACATCAAGGTCACAACTTTGATCAAATAAAAGTTGACTCATTGTAATGCTTGTTCATTTAATTACTGACAATATAATGAAAAAAGTGTATATGCCATAAGTTTTGAGTAGTGATTGAAACAAACTGTTTTAGTCAGATATATGATACCTGACAAATTGAATTAAGGACTTGCAGGTACAATGTATAATGAATATTTTTTTTTGCTCACCAGGCACAAAGTTCCTTTAAGTTAATCAATGGCATGGTGTAGGTATATCATCCATTCTGGTAACTTCATCATCTGTTCTGTATTCTGTCCATTAGCTGTTATAAGGTTTCCTCATGTAAATGACCTTGACCTTAACGGTCTCGGAGGTCAAATATGTTAAAAAGAATCGAGCAACACCTTTTAAATAACTATAAGGTCTAGAGCCATGATACTTGGGTATGGTATGAAGAACAGCAGGGCAAATATTGATGTAGCATATTGAGTTTAGGTCAAAGGTCAACTATGAGTGTTGACCGGGGTCAAAGGTTAACAAGGGTTTAAAAGGTTAAAACATACAAAGAATCATAAGGCACGAGAGTACTAGTCCTGGCATTGGGCCAATGTGTACCTGGAAATCTCCCGGATAGAGTGCTTCACTTTTTCCACATATAAATGACCTTGACCTACTTTGAAGATGTTAGGGGTCAATACATTATAAACATTTCAAGTAACATTTTCTAAATAACAATAAGGTATATATAGAGCCATAATATTTGGGTATGATATGTATTTATTTTTTTATAAATTTCAATACATTATGATGTCAGATGTCAACTTCGAACAGTGGCTTGAGAAAAAACTTAAAAATCTTTTGAGGTTCCATAAGGCCTAGGGTGGTGATATTTGGCCAGTTGGTACCTGGGATTAAAGAAATTGGCCAACTTGCAAGGTCACATTGGTCCAATTGCCATAACTTCAAAAGGTTGAAGTCCTCATCCTATAACATACAAGTATATGTTGTTGCTGAACATTTAGCAAGGAATAACAATTGCCTTAAAATGGTAACTCAATATTCAACATTTCGGGTAAGGGCAAAAATCTGTTGTCAGTATAATGTGACCAGGTAGAATGTTATGCTAGATGCTTTTGGCATGGTATTTCAGTGAGGTAGCACTATAAAGTCACCATCAGGTCAGTGCTGTGGCAAGGAGGCAAACAGACTAACATACCACACCCAGCATACATACATATACACATGCAGACATGCATTACACACATGGAGCTACGTCCTTGAATAATCTCAGAAAACCAAAACCACTTGTTGCTAAATACAAATGTATGAAGAAACAAATACAATCATGCTTCAAGGATTAGCCCTGGGGATGGCCACACCCCTTAATTACATGAAATTTACCATGAAACATCCTTGGTTCTTGGGACCTGTGAAAAAAATGTTCCTAAAAAATAAGTGTTATGCTACTTGATATTGAGTCTGAAATGGGGACACAATAGTGCTTTTAATGAATTTACTTTACATAAATGTTTGAAAATCCAGGTGAGTGGTACATGTCCTTTAGGCCACTTAATTGTTTACCAGTAAATGAAATCTGAATTCACTTTATTTCAAAATATTGCTGACTCTGTGGCTAGACGGGGGATAATTAGCTACCTGCCTAAAATTGCTAGTGGGGTATATTCTTACTTCATTTCATATTGCAAACATTACTGTACTTCTAAGGTCAACATGACAACTTGCAAAGAATCAAATATCAACCAAGTGTGATGTGAATAGGTGAGCGTACATAGTGTGGCCCGTTCGGGTACAATGTTTAAGGATATCCCTGTATACGTACACTGGGCATTGGAAGCTGTTTTCCTGCGCAGGACTTTAATGAAAAATATTGAAGATCAAATAATCAAAATATAATCAGCAACGTTAACAGTGTTCTGAGTGTAAAAATTCAACGGGACTATCTGTGACTCTTAAGGCTGGGATTTGAACCCTGGACTTCAGATTATTATACTATCTCTCTAACTGGCTGGACAGATTATTATACTGTCTCTCTTACTGGCTGGACCATCTGTTCAGTGGAAGCGTCCAGGCCCTATCAAGCTACCGTTATATCCAAAACAAAATCAAGGGATACAAAACACCACAGAGCAGTGGCCGAGGGATTAATAAATGTCCGTTCTATAGACATGGCTAAATCAGAATTTAACAGCTTGTGAATCACTGATGAGACTATCTAACCATCCGCATTACAAATGTTAATGCAAAGATAAATTAATTACACGCATGTTGGTATCAAAATTGCACCCATTCTGCAATAGGCTCTCTTTAACCAGTATCAGGATCATGTGATCAAAGGAGGATCAAGCTGAGGAGATACAGTTGTTAAGCATCATATCAAAAGCTGAAACTCTTTGATGGTTCCTTGTGATTAAGTTGGGAACTGAAGCCAGGAAATGTCCTACAATTTCTTTCTTACTTGTAGATATACATAGTGATACATGGTGCCATATTTATAATACATGTAATAACATGCAAACAATATTTAGAAGGCGAAGTGTTAGAAATGGAAAATAAATATCTGGGCCTCAATATGCTGTAGTTCTGGTTTTCCAGCTTTGTAAATGTAAGATATACTCATAGACTAAAGCAAGCTGTGACACTGCTGTGTGAAACAGGATGTGGTATATATACTTGTGGAAATTTTGTATAAAAGAGAAAACAAATTTTAATGATATAATTCAAATATCCTGTTGTTAAAAACTACATAGTAAACTGCTTTATGATATTCTGGTCCGTTGAGCAATTAAGCATAAAGTTCTAGAAAGAATACCTAGACATCTACTTTTTCTCTGTTTCTTTAATTACTGTATATCACTCTAAATTCGCGGAGTCAATATTTTGTGGTTTCGTATTCAGTACATTTTGTGGTCGTATTCAGTACATATTCGCAGGGGTTAAATTCCACTGTGTACTCGATTCCCATGTGTCGTGCAAAGTATTTTGAGTGTCATCATTTAAGGCTTAAACCTTGAAATACAGGTAAACCGTTTTAAAACACTGATCCTGAGCGTTGTTATGATCCGCCAGTGACTTCACTCGAAAATCAAATGTTTATGTACCTTTGTAGGAGTAAACTGCTCAATTTAATTGCCTACCGCGTACGCATAAATATGTTGTGGCCACTTAATGTAAGTGTTATATGTTTAACATGGACTGCCCAGTTGACCTGTGATAATCTGATTTGAGTTCATTTAAGGTTGCATAACAGTGTTGGGTTATAAGTATTTTCAACATGTTTTGATAAGGTCCGTAAAAGTGGTTGACATTTTCAACAATTTCACTGGTGTTTAGAATTCGTGGATATAAGTCAAAGTGCGAATATAGCGAAATTAAAAACCCCTCGAAATATAACCACTATACAGTACCATATTGATAGTTATTTGGATAAGAATACTAGGTAGTTAGCCTGTCACGAAGAGTTCTAAGACCTTGGTTAAGGATACATGGTATCGGCAGCTGATGCTCTCAAATGCTTGGTAATCTTGTAACGTGTTCAGTACATACATCATCTACATATAACTTGCTGATATGTAGAATGAAACTATCTCTCCCAGGTTTTTTGACAGAAGGTAGAAAAAAAAAGCATTGAAGAAATAAAGTATGTGCTATATCATGATCATTATATACCTAGCTGGGCCTGATATCATAATTATATCTATATATATAGATAGATAAATGATGTTGAGGTCGAAATGTCAAGACCTGTTCCATACATTTCCTGCCATTTGCTAGAAGTTTTATGGACTTCAAAATATGTTTGATGCTGATGAATGAGACTGGTGTTTAAAGTTAAAAAATTACAACACAAACTGTTTGATTTAAACTGAAATATATACTTTATCTGTACATGTTTCTTAACTTCTCTATAGCTACGTGTTTCACATGTAAGGACCTCTGGGTTTTTTTCTGTTTATTTCAAATGGAGTAACATGTACCTGTATGTTTTGACAATGCAATTTATTAGAAACTAGTAGAAGCTAAATTTGTGAAAGTTTCTAAAACTTGGTATCCAAATTTCTTGTAGAGTTTATAGCAAATTGATGTTATATGACCATGCTAATATCAAATCACATGTCATAAGAAAGAACTGATGTGCTATCTTGTTTGTTACTCACAGAGGTTGGCCCTGTACTGGTCACCACAAACCCACTGTATTTCAAGGACACATTGAAGGGGTTGTATGTCCAAGGAGGTGGGGATTGTCCAGAGATGTCCATCACTGCCATCAGCGAGGCTCTTGACGTTTCATTACCAAACTCCTTCATCTACGTTTTTACTGATGCTCGGGCTCGTGACTTTAACCTCACTGACATTGTACTTGGACAGATTCAAGAAAAACAGTCTCAGGTTGGTTGTCTCCCTTCATAGAGCTTTGTCTATACTTCAGTAAGGTGATTTATATTGTGAGTTGAAGTCTTGATGTTTAAAAAATTTCTTAATGGTCCCGCAAAGTTCGACACATCAAAGTTTGACTGTATATTTGACAGGTTTTTCTTTTCAGAATACATGCATATAGCTGTAGTTTGACATTTTCCCTTTTTTGCATTATTTCTCCTCACACACACACAGACACACACACAATACACATATTTTACATGTATGTACACCCCCCTCCTAATGTTTCGAAGCAGCATGAGATGCATTAAACACCCATTATATTTATTAGCTAAGTATTTCAACTAACATGCCAGAAACAGATAAGGAGAGTAAAAGAGAAGTACTTTGGCTTAATTTTGTCTAAAGTTACATATAGAGAAAGAATTCTGAATTAACTAGTCCTTCCTTGAAAATTCTGCTGGGTCAGCATAACAATGATACATTTAATATAGGAAGGGTTGGGTTAGAGGAAAGTGGAAACACATCAATTGTTTTTGTTGGCCTTACAGGTTGCAGTGTTCACCCAATGTTTATTAGGAACGAGTGTATTTTACATCAGGGGTGTATATTTTCATATTCAGAATGTGAGTCTGCAGGTTAGTTTTGAAACATTCTTCTAGCCCGATGACCTACATATATTTTTGTATTGACTTTCCCCTAAGACTCAAAATAAAATCTACTAGCTCCAGGCATTATTGAGCCATTAGAATTGTACACCCCAGTACGTAGGATCAATTTTAAGTTCTTTTAGTAAAGTAATTGGTATGGGAGATGGTTTGATAAAAATGATTAAAAATGAAGTTCCCATCATGTAGGGATATTCAATTTTATTAAAATTTTGATGACTGACACAATCAACATACAAGTCCTGTTAAGTATGTTATCTGGCATGGGTACATAAGCTCTGAGGGAATCTAGGGAATGTTTTGCAGGGCCTCATTTCTTCAAGGTTGTGTTAGACTTGTTAAGTTTGGTTGGCTGATCTATACAAGCTCAATTAAGGTTAAATGAGGCCTGAAATCTTTCCCTTCAGAGTTGATGAGTTCTGAAGGTCACCTACACACAGGTCTAGAGGTCAATGCTGTGCAACTAGTACAAATTAATGAAATAGAACAGAAATAGCTGTTCTATTTAGGTAATGTAGTTTTAGCCCAAATCATCAGATGGCAGGCTGTTTAAATCACCATTCATCCTTGGTCCACGGGTCCATCCTTAAACAGTTATTGGTATCACTATTGCTCCAGATGTAAGACAGAAGTTTCATATGTTGCATATTTATTACAGTATTCAAAAAGATTTCAAGAACTGCAATCATCCAGGAATAGATCTTTCACAAATTTTGCATGAACATTATATTTATATGTAGGTCCTTAATTGCGCATGTTCAATTTCAGGACTGATTGCAAGAATAAAGCAACTGACATGCTTTAAAAGTGACCATGTTGGATTTTGACAATTAAAGTTTACTATTCTTATTTCCTAGCAAGTATGGACTGTCATTTCATTCCCAGATTTTACTTGTAGGCTTCTGTTGGTCCAAAGCTGTGCACTTGTTTAATTTTATAGCTAGATGCAACTAGATAACTGCCTGGAGGCCAAGTTGGAATTTGACATTTAAAGTTTGCAATTTCCCAAAAGTTCAGGAGGGATGTCTAAGTAGTTCTGATCTTGGTTCCTTTCAAATTTTAATTTGGACTAATTTTGATTTTCAATTTTAGGACTTAATACACAACATAAACTCCTACATGAGTTCACTTAACCAGGCTGTTGGTTCTCTCCTCCTTTGTTTGGACACCTAGTTTTACATTTTGCTCTTATTTAGATATCACCAGCTATACACTAGTGACAGAACCTCTTAAATAATTGGGTTGATGGATAGTGTTCTTGGCATACCAGTGGCATTAGACATGTCACTGATAGGTATAGAACAACAAATTGGTACACCACCTGCATTGTTTTATCTTGAAACTAATCAATCCTGAACAACTGATGGCTCTGAAATCTTACGTGAAACTAATATAGGAACTAATAGAGGGGCTGCAGGGGCAGAAGGATCAATTTGGTTAATTTGCTGTAAATGGTAACTTTTCCCTAAAATGCAAAGCGCTTTTAACTATATTGTTGTGAAAGCATCTTTAGACCAAGGGCACACTTATACATATTAAGAGGGTTACCCTTGACCTGGGGGTGGCTAAAGGGAGGGGGGAGGAGAAAAGTAAATAGGGGGTCAGTCCAAGCAGTCAGTTCAAGCGCTAATATGGATGGATCAGAAGGGGTAACGCATATTGGTTACATTTAACACCCGTTGTATTAAAAGATATGTTTCTACCCCATGGAATTTATTATAACTGAGTTTGACTGTTTTTCATTGATAAATTCAAGCATCATGTCAAAACCCATCTTTTTAAAGACAAGGAGAATGTGTCTATATAATACTGTTTTTGATAAATAGGCAAATTTAACTGAACATGTTTTTCCTTAAATAAAACGTGTGCATAATGTCCTGAGGGGAAATTGAATAACTTTGAAACTAAATGTCATTACACAGAATCAAATTTATTCAACTGTTGTGACATCTAATCCACTGAGGCATGGTAAAACTTGGCTGTAGTTTTTTGTTTCGTGGTGTAGGTATTTCTAATGAGGAAACCACTCTAGGCTGTTGTACTACTACATATCATGGATAGGTGACCCAGCATCTCTTTATAGACATTCGTAATTTAGATAGGCGGGTTGGTTATCACAGTTCACAGAATGTACCATACAAGACCGGGGCATGTGGATGGAACCACATAACTTTATGGACAAATTGACGCTAGATGTGTTTATTTTCATTCAAGAGTCTCCGGAGCGTTAGTGTTATTTGATTATGTAATAGATAGTGTATGCGTTTTCATTTACAGTTAAGTTGTAGTTGTTCTGAACAGATAGTGAAATGAAATAGAGAGTATTTTATCAGCTGCTATTATCCTAATATTAAGAAAATGCAGACGTTGACAAATTTTATGGAATACTTAAAATTAAATACACAAAGTTGGCAAAGCCAGTTAATTGTGGTATTAGAGATATTAAATCTAACTGGTGTTACCAATTCAATGATATTTGTTTGTAGTTGTGACCACCCATGGCTTAGTGAAATGTGTTCCAGATTTCCCTTATGAAATTCTAGCTGCTTGCTTGTCAGTCAGTAAATATTTAGTTTGAAGAAAAGTTTATGAAGTCTATTGCAATTGATTGAAAATAAAGACACTTAAAAGAAATGATTTCATTAATTAGTACAGAGTTTATATATTTGGAGCTGAAATATACCAAAATTAAAAAATATAAGGAAAAACATTTGATTTTTTTTCTAGCACAACAAAATTTTAATCAACAAGAGTAACAACAATTCCTGTTTGTATAGATGTATGTACATGAACAGGTAGATTTCTCTGAGGTTTCTTATTCAGATTTCGAAATAAACACATACTAAACAATTGAATTACAATAATATTTTAATATTTACCAGGTGTACATTTCAAATTATAGTGAATTAAAATATTGCAGTAAATAGTATAAGATACAATTGTCAAGTTAATGTAATGTATATATTGTAAAAGTTAGAGAACCATTGGTAATGAACTGGAATACATAGCAATGGTAGACAAGTTTAAGGTACACATTATTGCAAATGGCTGAGTGATGAGAGGGTGCAAACGAATGTCAGTTGACTGTGACTTTGAGATTTGAGATGTAGTACATAGATCATCATAGACATACAGTTTACTTTACACTATGATTACAGGTGGTGTTTGTATTGACGGGTGACTGTGGGGATCCTACACACGAGGGCTACAAAGCTTACGAGAAGATCGCCTCTACCAGCTCTGGACAGGTCTTCTTACTCCGTAAAAACCAGGTCAATCAGGTAAAGATTTTAATTAATACATGTACACTGAAAAAACTGGAAAACCTGGAACCTATACCTGGAAAAAAACATTGTCTTGATATTGATGTTTGACATCAAAATGCATCCTAAGCTGTATATAGATAGAAGAAACCTCAGACCACCATTGGTAACTTTCTCATAATATTTCCTTATTAACAGACATTCTCTGAAGAAAATTGAAAGTATGCAGTCCATTTTATTTTACAACTTCATAGTCAGTGGGCTGTTTTAAATACATTTTTTAGCCCACCATCATCTGATGGTGGGCTATTAGTTTGGCCCTGCGTCCATGGTCCGTGGTCCGTGGTCCGTCCGTTGTCAGTCGTCCGTCGTCCATCCTTAAACAATTCTTGTTATCGATATTTCTCAGGAAGTACTAGAGAGATCTTTCTAAAAATGTATATGTAGGTTCCCCTTGGTCCCTAGTTGTGCATATTTACTTTTTAGACTGATCAGGTAAACAAAATGGCCGACAGGCAGCCATCTTGGATTTTGACAGTGGCTATTTCTCAGGAAGCACTGAGGAGATCTTTCTCAGATTTTACATGTATGTTCCCCGTGACCTGTAGTTGTGCATGTTCAATTTTGAGACTGATCAGAGCAACAAAACGGCCGACATTCTTTGATTTTTTGACATTTAGTGCTATTTCTCAGGAATAACTTGAGGGATCTTTCTCAAATTTGATATGTAGGTTCCTGTTGATCCCTCATTGTGTATGTAATATTTCGAGACTAATCGTGAAAACAAAATGCCCCAAGGCATAGTAAATATGTGAATTGACAAACTCACTTTGAAGGTTGTCTTTTATACACAGCAGTATTAAGTTTAGATCTAAAGTTACCCTAAGGTGAATTTACTGTTAACATGACTCGATCAAACAGATCAGATAAAAGAAGAGAAAAGTTAAACTGACAAAGAACTAATGAAGATGGTACAATGGTGGGCGCCATTTAGATCCCTCTGGGATCTCTTGTTTTATTATAGTGCTGTTGTCTGCACTTTGCAGCAATGAAAAAATGCATGTTTTACTTAAACTATTGGGTCTCTGTTGTGTTACCATATGTATATAGGTGCCAATGCAGTGTGTTTTTATTAAAAATGGTCAGATTAACAAATTAAGAACTGTTCAGGATGTCTGATGAAATATCGCATTATAATTCAACTCAATACAAATATCACATTATGATTCAACTCAATACAAGCATCTGAAAGGTATCTTTTATTTATTCAAACTTCCAATGTCAACAGTACATTATCCATTGATATTGTACATAAATCTTGTAAAATGCTGGAAAATCTGATGCAGGTCATTGACATTTGCTACCACATACACGTTGGTGATTTGTTATCCCTGTGAGTACATGGTTTATCTGTTAGCAGCACAGCCCTTGTTACAACTTACAGGAAGTGGCTGCTAATAGTGTTCCTCGTATCTTTGTTAAAGAATGTTATCATTATTACTGGTGATAAAATTTCATGGCTCCTTGTGATAATCCAATCTATCAAAATGCATTCCACTGACCTAACCAAGAGGTTTTCAGCAGCTATATTATAAATCATCCCAAGTCTTTTTAAAGTTCCTGGGAACAGATCGAGAGGCCACCTGTCAAAAGAGACTTGCACTACACAAAATTATGTGTGTTTCCGATCAAAATGATGAACTTAAATATTGCTTATGATATGATTTTTTTAAGAACCATCTTTGAGAGCTTTCTTCTGATAACAAATCAATTCAATTGAGTGGTCTACTTGAGGGCAAGTTGTAAATCTTATGATAAGTAGATTTAAATTTATCTATGTTTATGTAATGTTGTGTAGCACTTTCAAGAAGCCAGCACCTGCAGGAATGCTGGCTTGATAATTAATTACGACCATATCTTGTTAAAAAACATCTGTAGCAAACCCTGGTGGTATATTAATGCAATTCAAAAAGACATTATAGTTTGGAAAATACACCAAGGCAGGAGCGAAAATAACATTTTATAAAATATGGACATTAATGAATTACTTTTTAATTTGTTCAGAAATTTGATCTGACCAATAGATAGGGACAGATGCAAGCATAATTATGTATATCTTTACAACATAAACATTAATGAAATATTATAGAAAAGAGAGAGGTAAATTTGCTGTCTTAGATATAACCTATGCACCATACAAATACAGTAATCTGGTTTAGTATGTTATATGCATTTGAGGCATTTGATTCCATGTATGATTATGATATATTAAATATAGCACAAACAAAATAATGCATTGTACAATTTATCATATGTTAAACTTTAATGCATTGAATACACACAGGTTATATTTTTGCGTATAACCATGTGTAATAATCCCTATTGTGTTTTTATAATTGAAACAATAGACATATGCATGATGTCATGACATAATGACATTGCATCAATAGACATGATGTCACTTGCATCAATAGACATGATGTCACCATGGTGATGTCAAACACTTCATAATTGGCAGAAAAAACATTTTTTGGGGAATATTATCTTCAAAGTTTTCTTTTCATTATCAACTTCATAGAGTCATGCTGAATTGATACTTCTGGACTTGTTTTATGAATCTCATATGGAATGCAAACTAATTTTTTAAGATCCTGATATTAATATAAGTTCAGTTTGATTAAACATGGAAGGTGCTGACACGTGTACATGTACATTAAATAAGAGAATATTGGACTTGGGTAACAAAATAATTTTGCTGATAGTTTTTTCTAACAATGCTGAATAAATACTTCATGTTAAAACATCTAATCGTGATTGACGCAATATTTACATATTTTCTGAGTTGTTGTGTTTGTGTAAAAAGATTCCATGTTTTTTCCCATCAGTTCTTTTCTTCAGTTAAGAGGAGTCCTGTACTTTGTAACCTTTGTAAGTGTTGTCTTGGCCTAAACACACACAATTTCTATTTAAGTCGGCAAGATCTAGAGTTGATACAGGATGACAGATGAATAAAAAACATTTGGAATGATTGAATAAAAACTTCTAACTCTGTTAAAGGGATAACCTTTAAAAACACTCAAACTGAAAAACCGCTACAACCTACATTAAATCGGTGAGAGGTGAAATGGGATTGAAGATCCAAATCTACAGCAAAAATATCACACCAAGTTTAGAAAGCGTGGAGATTGCTCTGAGCAACCTAACTTTTTACTCCCACTCATTATCATTAACTTTCATATGATCCTAAACTTTTGTATCATTGTCATCATTGTTTGAAATACCACAGTTAGTTGAAGAGTTACCTTATACCTCAAGTAATGTACAAGATGGTCGGCGAGAGAAGCGCAGAGCTCCAGTCATACTTAGTGAATTGGCTCAGGTGTGTTCTGTAATGTACATTAATGTAAACAGTCTTATGATTAGATTGTCATGGTTGTCATTAGTTCTATCTGTGATTATTATGGGACTTCACTTGTTCACAAACAAACCTCTTGTACAAGATTATATTTTGACCTTTTGGGAACATATATTAGGTAACTGTTACTTGAACTTTTGCTGTCATTACTCTTCAGGCTTAATTCCTTATACTTACTCAGCTGTCATGACACTTTATTTAGTACCGGTATGTGTTCCCATCACCACTTGTATAAGTATATGTGTTCCCACTTTCTGGGACAAAAAGAAAGCCACTGTTGATAAAATACATTTATGTGATTGCTGCTGTACTGACATCATTTGATTATGAGGAAATGTCACATGTACCTGGTATGTTTACAAACATCACCTGTTGTAGCAGTTTGCATTTTTACCTTCTGGGGTCGAAAACAAGGTCACTGTGATAACCAATAAATTTACCTGTACAGACACCTAAAAAAGGATGCTGGATACAGTTGATGTGGAACATGCCATCAGGTTATAGGTGTTAGTTGTTTGATAACCGTAAAATCTAATGAAACAATATTCCTATATCATGTGTGGCCTATTTACATGTTGACAGTTGGTCTATGCACATTGCATCTGTAATACTGTATACCCACCAGGATTGAAAAGCCTGACAGAACATAAAATTTTTACCTCGGAGACAAAGTGGCCTGCATCTATTAGAGCTTTGGTGCTACATTTAGAAAAGTCTGTTCAACATTGAACTAATATTTCTTATTTCTTTTCAAAAGGTGCTGAACTTTGTGAAGGTGGCAGTGCAAGCGCGCAAGGTTAACCTCATGTCCATAGATGTTCCTGAAGCCACGGCGCAGATGTATGAACTGCCAATTGACTCAAAACTGCAAGAGATCACAGTGTCAGTCAGTGGAGAGACACCAGACATAGAAGTTTTTGGACCTGATGGTAGGTAGCTAAAGAGTTTATTTTACCAGCATATTGCAGTAGTAATAATGGACAATAAGGATTTAGCAGATCAGGGGGATGGGGGAGAGGCTGTCAATTTTGCTAAAAAAACAGGTACACGTGTAGTCAAATTTCTTTGATATTAACCCCCATGTTATCTTATTGTGTGACCTTGTTTAAAACATTCCAGGTATACTCTCTGGATCCGCCACTGAACATGGTGCAACAGGAATATAAACTAATTTTGTAACACTTGCAATAATAATTGAACTAAGGGGGATGTGCTCTATGGATAACTTGTGTTAGCAAGAGATTTTTTCAATACATCATTTATTCAAAAGTGCTTGCACTAAAATCTCCATCCTGATCATTCTTATTTTTCCGTATTGATAATTGATCGTCCGTTTAATATCTTCTAAATTTGAGAAGACTACATGCATATTATCAGATTTGAGATTTTCCCCAGTGTGTGTGTAACAGTGGGATTTGTTTTTGCCTATACAATATGTATTGTACTTAACATTGTGTTGTCCCTATATTGTGTAAGAATATACATGATCAGTTTAAAGGAGGTTCAGCTATATTTCTTTCTACAGTGGTGGATGTGAACAAGTTGCCCAAGTGTATGGGTGCACTCCTCCATTCTTTAGCCAAGATGCGTGGGTAACAAGAAAACATCATATTAAATTTTATAGTTGGTGAGGGGCCTCATCTTTGACTTTCTGATCTAGCTAGATATACCCGGTATTTCTGTGTACTCTGATGACAAGATGGTACATATAGATTTGCTATTTTTGTACTCTTAGATTGATATTAGAGATCATGGTAAAATGGTTCTTAACGCCTAACATACATGTAAGCCTGTTTATGTACACTTTATATAACTTTTAATTTGGTGTTTGGAAATTGGTTGTGGAGAATAAATCATTTATATTTTTTTTTTTAACCTTAGCTCTTGCTATCTTATGTTTCATGTATGCTGGTGTAATTACTGCATACTGTACTATTTGAGTTCGCTAAATATTTCAATGAATTGTCTTCTGAAAAAAGCCCCATACAAGATAAATGTATAACAAAAACAGGTGAATTTCCTGTTTCATCAACAATTTGGGCAGATTTCTGTAGCAACCGTAATTAAAAAAAAACGTTTTTATTAAAATCAGATAATTTAGTTGTTGGAAACAAATTTGAATTGGTACAAGGTAAAATGATATCCAATGTCCACTAGTGGATGTACAGTGAAGGTCTGCGTACCCCAGTTGATGAATCTTTAAGTGGAATTCACTAGTCTGGCCGTAAGAGTAATTGAAGAAATGACAAGAACATCAAGTGAGGAGTCTCGCAAATTTAATCCAGTTCACATGTTTGGGCCCACTATGTGGCCGCCATCAGAGCCTGATGAACCTGATGACAGCCCACCTAGTGGGCCGAAACATGTAAACTGGATTAAATTTGCCAAAACTACCCATTTGATGTTGTCTGGTCATCTCTTCTTTTGATATTCAAGTTAAGTGAAATGATTCTGGTTTAATGAAAATGTTCTTCCACATACATGTACACATGTAGATTGGGTATTGTTACATTACCTCTAAAGTTCTGAATTATAGTTATTTATCAACTCCTTTTCATCATAAAGTCATCAACTTGGTTTGTGGAACTATCACTGACTGGTGATTCCCACAGTACTAAAGTGTTTAGAAATAGTATGGTTTTGTGAGGGCAGGAGTGTAGAGGTTGTATGTAGTAGTGCTGTTTATAATGGATACCCATATCTCCATTCTCAACTGGAGGTTATGAGAACTCGGCATCAAAAACATGTTGTAGGGTGCTAAAGAGTATGTATCATTATGGTATCAACAAGTACTTTGACACTTGAAAATAACTTAGCAGTTTGGGTTGATTGCATGTGTGTGGCCTACGGTATATAATATTATACTAACAGAAGAGTTTTCCTGATCATGAGATGATGTTAAATATATCAATACTTCAAGCTGTCACTGTTTTATGGAAATTTAAACTAAAGGTTCCTCTACAAGTTTTGAATCATTTTACACTTTTTGATTGGATGCTTTCACTTGCAAGGCTATAAAAATAAAACTAGATTGGTCACCTGTAAGACTTAGTGTAAAGCGTGGATATAGATGTTACATGTACAACTGTAATCTAATCTGGTCCCAACATTTTCAAAGGGCTTGTAAAATAAAGAGAGTCAATGCTTCTTGAAAGTCACAAATATGAGTTTGTGTGAACTAGGTATATATTTCTTCTGTTTCAGAAGGCAGCAGATGTATTATAAAAGCTATTCTGAGTCATATGATATATGTTTCCACTACAGGACTATACAAACTGTGGCTGTTGTAATAATTATTGAAATAATGTTGTATGTTTATGTTTTATTAATAAACTGTAGAGTAGAAAACAGTCAAGGTACTTAATTGCAATTGTCAACTTGTTAAGAGAATTTGTAAACATTCCTGATATTTACATAAATAATTTCTATTTTTAACGCAAACATTTTGATTGGATCTGTTTACTATGTGTTTTATCCTGTACTATGATGATGCAGTCATTATAAGAGTGTTGTTTCTCAATGACACAGAATTCATGTGAAACTGGTTGGGAATTCCCTTGACTTTCAGACAAGAATCCTGTCTGCCTCTCCGTCTTTCTGTAGCTGTATGAGGATACATTTATACATGTTTATATTTCGGTTTCCATTATTTTCCCCAGAATGATCATCTTTTTTGCACTTTTCAAGACCTATCCAAATACATTCCCCAAAACAAGGCTACCTATTACAATGAAACTTTCTGGGAATCATACATGGGGGATATAGTTAACATCACACAGTTAAATTTTAATGTTTGGGATAAAAAAAATGGCCACCATGCATGGCTTCTGCGAATACTGGTGATAACTTTAGTTCTGTGGAGCCAACTTTGTTGATATTTAATGGAAACGATTCATTGATAATATATGTTGATATCTGATAATTGGCACTTAAATGTTATGAAATTCTACAGGGTAGATGTTATGAAATTCTACAGGGTATGTGATGAAGGGATAAGTGAAGTAGAAGGCTAGGGACAGGTGCATACATATACAGTTTACCATTATCATGATATAAGCTCTCTAGGTACTACAGCATATCTCACAGATGGAAACATGGTATGTTTGTGTAACTCCATATGAAACCATCAGCACCTGAAGAGCCTGGAAAGACTGGTGAAAATACTTATGTCATTGAAAAACATTGCTACTCTTCTTCAACTCTCTTGGCAGGCCTAATAAATATACACTCCTTTGTGCAATGTCTTTGGTTTGTCATCTTTTTCTTCAAATGTTTTCTTTTTAAGAATATATGCAATCTGGTTTTATCCAAACTCTATGAATGATCCTTGTGTGGTCCTGATCAGGTGTTAGTCAGACCATGATAGGATCAGGTAGGAGGGTATTTAGTGTCATCTTGTAAATATATTGCATGTAATATTTGATCAATTCGATTTAATGAAGAATATGTCTATATGTAAGAAACTCATACTTGCAAACTCTTCCTATTTAGGAGGGAGACTCACGGTTTTGGACCTTAAAGTTGAGCATTTTCAACCTGTGAATTTTTTACACTATTACTATTTTCTAAGATCTCATGGTTTCATCTGAAAGAGCAGCTGAAAAGAAATCATTTAAAAATGTTATTTTTTCCCTTGAGTGTATATACCCACATTTTAGTTATGTTTTTAATTCTGAGCATGCATAAACTCCCCATTGAATTTTCAAAAAGTTGGCAAGTATTGAAAGTTTTCTTGTCAATAACATGTTACATTCCAGAATGCTGATCATAGATTATTACTTGCCATACATGTACATGTTTAATCAACGTTTCATTCCCACCATTAACATTTTTATTCTGTTATACGAACAATAAAGTATTGGTTGATGGCTTCTATCTATGTCATCAAGAATGGATACTGTAGGATGATTGATTAGGAACTCGACTGAGCGACTTGTATTGAATACCTTGCAATTATTTGGTCGAAAGTTGTAATGTCATATTCCTTTGTTTTCGGTAAAGGCAATGCATATGAACAAGTAGATAACAGATGATTTTAAAAATTAGAATCAACTTAAGGATCTCAGTTCTACTGCCAAAACATGTAACTATGAATGGGAAAATCTGTTACCTACATGACAATAGCTTAACTAGATCAGTTCTGAAAAGAAACTTGTACCTTGCAAAACTTTTATGAAAACAGTTTTACCTAATTTGAATTTTACATAAAAGTAACTGATTTGAGTATTGAATACAGACCCCATAAACCTCTTGCTACAATCTGTGTAAAGATGGTGCATATGTGCTGCCAGTGAATGTAAATTTCTTCCTTTGTCTCCAGGTCGCAAGATGACAGTGTTTTCCGGCCTTAATGAACTATTGGATCTGAGAAATGCTAAAGTAGTGAATGTCAGGATGCCTTCTGCCGGGCCATGGAAACTCTTCATAGGGAGTAACAGTGCCCACACCATTCGTGTCACTGGCCTCAGTACCACAGACTTTGTGTCCGGTTTCTCTCGATTCCCCACAAGAGACCTCGCTGACACTGACCTTCGACCTTTGGGAGGTTTGTGTTTGAGAGTCGACCTTTGAAGTATTGAATTGTAGTATGAGAAACTAAATTTTCCACTATTGTCTCATTGTCCTTTCTTCTATATGCATGTATACACAGAAAATTTTCCTTTAAAACAGTTAAAGCGTCACACCTTACATGTAGGATTTTTACCACTAAGTTCGCATTTCAAAGGAAGAATAAATTCAAAGTATATCTGCATAACCAAATGTGGGTGTGTAGTTCAATGTACCGGTAATTAGTATAAAGTATTTATTGTGATATACATGTTTAAAAAAAAATGTAGGTGTGCCAAATATGCTTAGGAATAAACCACTAATTTTGCATACATTTTTTTAGAAGTGTGAAATATTTTTTATGTTGAGCAGCTTTAGATGTTTCATATGAAGGTGATTTTATTCTAACCATATATATAGCATGCTGATATAAATGTATGTAAAATAATTTCAATATTTTTTTCCAATTTTTGTAGGTGTGCCAACTTACATGGTAATCAATGCAAGTAACCTTGTAGCTCCTGGACGTTTTAACACACTTGAGCTGATAGATCTCCAGGGCAATGTCCTCGAACTACAGGAATTGGAGCAGGATGAAGAATATTCACACCTTTACTATCTTACTGATTCCTTCATACCTCCAAAACAGTTCTTTTATGTCAGGGTAAGTGTTCACTCCTACCTCAAAATGTTTTTTTCTTTGAGAGTGTAAAAGTTCATTCTTACCTCCAAAACAGCTCTGCATGTGAAGGCTAGTTCTCTCCCTTTCAAGTTTGCCTCCAAAGAAACTTGGTTTGTAAAACTTTCTGTATACTAGGTTATTCATGCAGACACGATATATATATTTTTCACAGAAGGTTTCAACTATGAATTCAACATTGCGGTTGAGATTTACAGTTATCTATAGTTCATGACCAGCTAAGGACAAACAGGAATACAGAGGATAACTTTCTGTTTCTTTTCAACATGGTCATAATCATAGTTTCTTTGTACAGCTCTGTATATGAAGGTATGTGCTCTGAAGAACTCAAAAACAGTTCTGTATGTGAAGGTATGTGCTCTGTAGAACTCCAAAACAGTTCTGTATGTAAAGGTATGTGCTCTGTAGAACTCCAAAACAGTTCTGTATGTGAAGGTAAGTGTTCATGTAGAACTCCAAAACAGTTCTGTATGTAAAGGTATGTGTTCATGTAGAACTAAAGAACAGTTTTGTATGTGAAGGTATGTGCTCTGTAGAACTCCAAAACAGTTCTGTATGTGAAGGTAAGTGTTCATGTAGAACTCGAAAACAGTTCTGTATGTAAAGGTATGTGTTCATGTAGAACTAAAGAACAGTTTTGTATGTGAAGGTATGTGCTCTGTAGAACTCCAAAACAGTTATGTATGTGAAGGTAAGTGCTCTGTAGAACTCAAAAACAGTTCTGTATGTAAAGGTATGTGCTCTGTAGAAATCCAAAACAGTTCTGTATGTAAAGGTATGTGCTCTGTAGAACTCCAAAACAGTTTTGTATGTGAAGTTATGTGCTCTGTAGAACTCCCTTTCAAGTTTTGTATGTGAAGGTAAGTGTTCATGTAGAACTCCAAAACAGTTCTGTATGTAAAGGTATGTGCTCTGTAGAACTCCAAAACAGTTTTGTATGTGAAGTTATGTGCTCTGTAGAACTCTCTTTCAAGTTTTGTATGTGAAGGTAAGTGTTCATGTAGAACTACAAAACAGTTCTGTATGTGAAGTGTTCATGTAGAACTATGTGAAGGTAAGTGTTCATGTAGAACTACAAAACAGTTCCGTATGTTTAATGTTCATGTAGAACACCAAAATAGTTCTGTATGTTAAGGTAAGTGTTCATGTAGAACTACAAAACAGTTCCGTATGTTTAATGTTCATGTAGAACACCAAAATAGTTCTGTATGTGAAGGTAAGTGTTCATGTAGAACTACAAAACAGTTCTGTATGTTTAATGTTCATGTAGAACACCAAAATAGTTCTGTATGTTAAGGTAAGTGTTCATGTAGAACTACAAAACAGTTTGTATGTGAAGGTAAGTGTTCATGTAGAACACCAAAATAGTTCTGTATGTGAAGGTAAGTGTTCATGTAGAACACCAAAATAGTTCTGTATGTTAAGGTAAGTGTTCATGTAGAACTACAAAACAGCTCTGTATGTGAAGGTAAGTGTTCATGTAGAACTACAAAACAGTTCTGTATGTTTAATGTTCATGTAGAACACCAAAATAGTTCTGTATGTGAAGTGTCCATGTAGAACTCCAAAACAGCTCTGTATGTGAAGGTAAGTGTTCATGTAGAACACCAAAATAGTTCTGTATGTGAAGTGTTCATGTAGAACTATGTGAAGGTAAGTGTTCATGTAGAACTACAAAACAGCTCTGTATGTGAAGTGTTCATGTAGAACTATGTGAAGGTAAGTGTTCATGTAGAACTACAAAACAGCTATGTATGTGAAGGTATTTGTTCATGTAGAACTACAAAACAGTTCTGTATGTTTAATGTTCATGTAGAACACCAAAATAGTTCTGTATGTGAAGGTAAGTGTTCATGTAGAACTACAAAACAGTTCCGTATGTTTAATGTTCATGTAGAACACCAAAATAGTTCTGTATGTGAAGGTAAGTGTTCATGTAGAACTACAAAACAGCTCTGTATGTGAAGGTAAGTGTTCATGTAGAACACCAAAACAGTTCTGTATGTGAAGGTAAGCGTTCATGTAGAACTACAAAACAGTTCTGTGTGTTTAATGTTCATGTAGAACACCAAAACAGTTCTGTATGTGAAGGTAAGCGTTCATGTAGAACTACAAAACAGTTCTGTATGTGAAGTGTTCATGTAGAACACCAAAACAGTTCTGTATGTGAAGGTATTTGTTCATGTAGAACTACAAAACAGTTCTGTATGTTTAATGTTCATGTAGAACACCAAAACAGTTCTGTATGTGAAGGTAAGTGTTCATGTAGAACTACAAAACAGTTTGTATGTGAAGTGTTCATGTAGAACTCCAAACAGTGTTGTATGTGAAGGTAAGTGTTCATGTAGAACTCCAAAACAGCTCTGTATGTGAAGGTAAGTGTTCATGTAAAACTACAAAACAGTTTTGTATGTGAAGTGTTCATGTAGAACTACAAAACAGTTCTGTATGTGAAGTGTTCATGTAGAACTACAAAACAGATTTGTATGTTAAGAGCTCATGTAGAACTACAAAACAGTTTTGTATGTGAAGTGTTCTTGTAGAACTACAAAACAGTTCTGTATGTTTAATGTTCATGTAGAACACCAAAACAGTTCTGTATGTGAAGGTAAGTGTTCATGTAGAACTCCAAAACAGCTCTTTATGTGAAGGTAAGTGTTCATGTAGAACACCAAAACAGTTCTATATGTGAAGGTAAGTGTTCATGTAGAACCAAAAAACAGTTTTGTATGTGAAGGTAAATGTTCATGTAGAACTACAAAACAGTTCTGTTTGTGAAGTGATTATTTAGAACGACAAAACAGTTCTGTATGTGAAGTGTTCATGTAGAACTACAAAACAGTTTTGTAAGTGAAGTGTTCATGTAGAACTAAAGAACAGTTTTGTATGTGAAGGAAAGTGTTCATGTAGAACCAAAAAACAGTTTTGTATGTGAAGGTAAGTGTTCATGTAGAACTACAAAACAGATTTGTATGTTAAGAGCTCATGTAGAACTACAAAACAGTTTTGTATGTGAAGTGATCATGTAGAACTCAAAACAGTTATGTATGTGAAGTGTTCATGTAGAACTACAAAACAGTTCTGTATATGGAGGTCTGCTCCTTTTTATCTCCTAATCAATTACATTGAGAAGGATAGTATTCCTCTCCTCAAAAACCAGTTTTATACATTAACGTTAGTGTAATAGTACAGGTGTGGAGTGCACTTTATAAAAGTGAAGATATATAGACATGTTACTGACATGAGACATGAAGTATAACTGTATCACCAATGATAGGTGAGCAGTGCACTGCAGTAAGAACCTTCACCTCCAGGTGAAAAATCAATACCTGCTCCACCCATATACCTTAAAACGTAAAAAGATAAATAATTCAAAAGCCAATATCCATATTGATTGATAAGAGCAGGCATGTTTTTTTGTGTCGCCTGCGAAAAGCTGGTGACACATAGGTATTGCTTTGTCGGCGTCGTCGGCGTCCGAACAGAGGTTTTCGTGCAATAACTTGAGTTTCCTTGGGACGATCAAATTCAAACTTCATGCAGTGCTTCCTTACCATAAGTCCTTGCTTGGGATTGCTTTTCAGGTCCGAAGGTCAAAGGTCAAGGCAACTGTTACTTTAAATAAAAAAATCTGTTTTCGTGCGATAACTTGAGTTTCCTTGGGTCGATCAAACTCAAACTTCATGCAGTGCTTCCTTACCAAAAGTGCTTGCTTGGGAATGCTTTTTAGGTCCGAAGGTCAAAGGTCAAGGTCACTGTTACTATAAATAGAAAATCTGTTTTCGGGCGATAACTTGAGTTTCCTTGGGCCGATCAAACTCAAACTTCATGCAGTGCTTCCTTACCAAAAGTGCTTGCTTGGGATTTCTTTCAGGTCCGAAGATCAAAGTTCAAGGTCACTGTTACTATAAATAGAAACTTCACTCAAACTGTATACTGGACGTTTTCGATCTACCACTTGACCCACCATGTATACCTCTGAAATGCCGTCTTACTCCAAATGTTATTGACAACACCAGCTGTTTAACATCATAATCCACAAGTTCATTCATTTATTTATCCGACAAATCATACAAATTAAACTTGGAATTGAGACAATGAGTATTCATAGCAAGTTCCTTAAAACTCAGAGTATTTTTCCAAGAATAACAGCTTATGTAGCAAAATGATGCCATCCAAAAACATAATCTATGATTATTGCTTACTTTTAACATTATTTCTTGAAATGAAAAGTGTATCTATTTCTTCGTAATCTCCCAGTTTCCTGCGCAGGTGACACATCCACTTCCGTGGAATTCTTGTGATCAATATCTTTGTTCACAAAAAATATTCTGTAGTTATCAAGAATTTATATATATATATTGTGTATATCACATATACATGTGTATAACAAAAGGATTTTCAATTTTAAAAGAAGAGATAAGAGAGTTCATTAGTAGGTAAACATTGTATTGATACTTCATTGGCATTGTTCTAATAAAAAGTTATCATTACATGAAGAACAATTAACGGTTCAGTATACAACTATACCCACCATTGGTGGAAGTTGCTGTGTACAAATTCACCTTTATCATTGTAGTATGTGTTGCATACATCATCAACTTGAGCTAAGCCTTAATTATTTTCTGTTTACAGGTGAGTGGAATTGATGACAAAAGGAACCCAATCCAGCGCTTGACCCCTACAGCCATCAGTCCTGTCCCTCCACCACGTCCTAATGTGTACATGCCCCAAATAACTCGTGGCTTCTACGACACTACTGCCTATATCACGTGTTCCGTACAGAGCCCTATCAAATATAATGTCCAGTGGAGCAGAGGAAATGATCTTATAGGAAATCCACTCTTTTACAGGTTAGAATACTCTGCAAAGTTTGTGGTACATTTGACAAGTCAATACAATATCGTTTCACTGTTGTTGACAGTCAGCTAGCAGGTTGTTAGGGGTAACATCTCAAGAAAACACAGTTTCATAACTCTGGCCCACAATTTGATCATTGAATTTTATTACCGAAAGAGCTGATGTTAAAGTGATACTTAAGCAAGAAAGGAGCTTTACATATTGAATAATGCTATAAATTCCCTGCTTATAACTACTAAAAGTCTGAAGTAATTAGATCGTCAACTGTATGTACATGTATATGGCGGGGAACGTTGGCAACAGATCACAATTTTGTCATATTATTATCACTGTTTCTTGTCTTTATTTACAGGGAGTCAAGTAATGTGGTGCTAGAAATACCCTTCGTAGATGGGAGTTCTGAGGGGAGATACACCTGTAATGCTACTAGCCTGGCTGGCTGGAATGCAAGCACCACAATGCTTGATGTCAGTGGTATGTTATCTAGCAATTATTTAAGTGATGGCATAATCTCAGAGTTAATATCAGAAGAAGTAGTCCTAGAGTAACAGGACAGGAGAGGTAATTGAAGTAACAGGTCAGAGATATACCCCTATAAAAACATGTCAGAGGGTGACCCTATAGCAACAGATCAGAGAAGACACCTTATAACAACAGCTTAGATAGGCAAACTTATAGCAACAGGTCTGTGAGAGAACCCTGTAGGAAGAGGTCAAAGTGATAACTCTATAGTGACCGGTCAGGGAGGGAATCCTATAACAACAGATCAGAGAGAGAACCCTATGGCAACAGGTCCGAGAGGTTACCCTATAGCAACAGGTCTGAGAGAGAACCTTACATGAATAGGTCAAATTGGTAACCCTGTTTTAACAGGTCAGAGGTAATCCTTTAGTAACAGGCCAGAGGGGTAAACCTATTTAACATGTTGAAGGTAACCCTATAGTGACAAACCAGACAAGTAAAACTATAGTCAACAGTCAGACAGGTAATGAATGCTATACAATGATTAGTCAAGAGTGGTAACCTTATAGTGACAGGTCAGAGGAATAACTCTAAAGTCACATGTCAGAGATAACCCTATAGTGATATGTTGGAGGAGATGAACACTATAGTCACAGGTCAGATAGGTAACCCCTTTAGCGATATGTCAGAGATGTTTTTCTGAAGTTACAGGTCAGACAGGATTTTTTTGTTATTAGTTTTATATCTTTAATTATTGATAACAACAGGAATGTATCTTTATTTTTGATGATTGAATATTTCATGTCAGAGCCGCCACCAGTGATCGAACCAATGAGGAACATTTCTGTGCTGCCGGGGCGAGATGCAGTCCTCCATTGTGTCGTCCAAAGAACTGTTGAGTTTAACATCAGCTGGTACCAACCCAACTCAGACTTTCTACTCAACAGTAACAAATACCAGATCTTCAGCAATGGATCACTTCTGATCAGGTACATTATAGTATTACTGCTTCACAGGTGGACATTACACACATTGGCTACTAGTTTGCATGTGTTAATGTTTTTAGCTGATCGCCTGGTCCGAAGGACCATCGTGAGCTTATGCTAATCCGCGGCATCTGTTTTCCATCCATCATCCGTCAATCTACTTTTCCTTCAAAATGCTGCTAGTACTGAACAGCTTTATGGATTTTGTAATACGGAGGGTGTGGCCCCTCTGGGTGCAGAGGGGCAGGGCCAAATAGGGGAACTTCAAGTTTAAATGTTTAATATCATTCTTCCTTCTTCTTCTGTAACATTGGAGGGATTTTAACCAAATTTGGCCTGGAGCAGCCTTGGGCAAAGGGGACTAAATTTTATATAAACAGAGGTTGTGGTTCCTTTAGGTCGAAGGGGCTGGGCCCAATAGGGGAATTTTAGGTAAATCTGAACAATTCTTCTTCTGTACCATTGGAGGGATTTTAACCAAGTTTCTTCCAGGGCATCCTTTGGCAATGGGGAGTCAATTTGTATAAACAGAGGGTGTGGCCCTCTTGAGTACAGAAGGGCGGTCCCAATAGGGGAACATTGAGGCAAGTATGTAAAATCCTTCTGCTTATGTACCATTGGAGGGATTTTAACCAAATTTGGCCTGGAGCGTCCTTGGCCAAAGAGGACTCAATTTTGAATAAATGGAGGGTGTGGCCCCTCTGGGTGCAGATAGGCAGGATCCAATAGGGGAATTACAAGTTTAAATCTTTAAAATCCTTATTCCTTCTTCTTCTGTACCATTGGAGAGATTTTATCCAAATTTGGCCTGGAGCAGCTTTGGGCAAAGGGGACTAAGTTTTGTATAAACGGAGGGTGATACATTGCTGTTGGTGATGATCTTTTTCATCATTGTTTTGATGTGAGCATCTTATTTGAAAAAAAACCCACAAGTATATTGCACATGTATTCAAGATTGGAAAGTAACCTGGGAATGGATACCTGGCTTTAGCTGATGTTTGTTGCCTTTTGTTGTGAGGATGGAAGTATTCTTGAGTTTCTCAATGTTTCAGAAACATTGGACTTGAGGATGAGGGAAGGTACCTGTGTCTGGCTGGCAATGAAGGTGGATTCACTGAGGCACTTGTACATGTCCGAGTTCAAGGTAAATCACATTCATTACTAATCTTCAGTGTAACCTATATTTGTATGTATTTAATACATGAAGTGACAATTCCTGAATGAAATTTTTATTCATGAAAAAAATACTGAACAAACAAATGTATTTGTTACTTTTAGTTTTATTTGTCTCTTCAAATATTTTGTCCATGAAACACTCATAATTTCCAAGTCTCTTAAATTCTTTGTTTTCCCCTTAAACCTTATTATTTTATTTTGTTTTCAGTACCACCTAAGACTGTGGTGACTCCTTCTGTTAAGACCTTTAAGACGGGGCAGACGGTGAACCTGACCTGTACTGCGGAGGGTTTTCCTGTCCCCAGTTTTTACTGGCTTCGTGACAACAAGCTTATGATTCCTAATGAAAGGATTCAGATTAATGGTCCACATATCAGCTTCGCCAATATGTTCCTAGGTGATCAGGGCCAGTACCAGTGTTTGGCCGAAAATTTGGCAGGAGAGGATAATGTAACAGCCATTCTTACATATATAGGTAAGGGGAGAGTACTGTACATAGCCATAGATGCTACTTTCTTTTATCAGTTTCCAAACAATTTTGCGGGTAACAGATGGAATGGAGGTGTTTTTTTATGATTATAGGGACAGACCAAGTGGTTTGATGCTGTTTTCTGACAAGCCCTTTTAAAAGCCTTACAGGGCCTGCATTACTTAGCTTTACCATCAAAATGTTAATTCAAAAGTAGAAAACAGTTTTTTTCATATCTTAATATATATCCAGTATATGGTTACTCTCTGACATGCATTTATGAGCTTGAAACACTGAAAAATGAGCAGTAAGAATAGTTTTGGCGCTGCAATTAGGTCACTGTGATCTTCACCTCAGGGTCAAAGGTCAAGTTAATGCAAAATTTATAGTGAAATGTTGTTTGGACCATTTCTAAACTGTAAAAGATACTTTAATAAAATGTGAAGTGTGTCTGCATTACCAACACAATGTGTGCTATGCACTATATTTAGGTTATCATGGCCTTCACTTCTAGTTTAGTTTCAATGGGACCATGCGAGTACCTTGATTGAGCAGTGAGAAAAATTGTTAATTTCCATGGTGTTTCTTGATTGAGCAGCGAGATTAATTTTGCATGGAGCTATTTTATCGAGCAGTTTATACGTAAATAGTTACATTATGTATGGTTTATGTTCATTCCTGTGACAGAGGCACCGCAGATATACCGATCTGATGAACTTGTGTTGGTTGCTAGTGGTGACAATGCAGTCTTAGTGTGTGCAGCCAATGGTATACCCAGTCCCACAATCACATGGTTCAGAGGAGATGTCCAGGTGTGTTCTTATGTTTCATGTTTCTGAAATGTCCTTGGATAGAAAATCCAAATTTATTTAGCTTTGGGCATTTGGGTTAACTAGGGACATGTGAACAGTAGGTGAGAGATCATTAAAGAGAGATGGACTATTATTAACCAT